CGGATCGGACACCACCGGGTCGGGGCCGGTCCCGGCACGGACGGAGCGGAGCGGTGTGGGAGAGATCCCCCCCCTCCTCCCCGGCACCGGTACAGGCACAGGCGTGTACACACACGTGTACACACACATGTACACACACACATGCACACACATGTGCACACACATGTACGCATATGTACAAACACACACGCACGCAGACATGCACACACATGTGCACACACACATGCACACAGATGTGTGTTTGTACACGTACACACACATGTGCACACACATGTACATACACATGTACAAACACACACGCATGCAGATGTGCACGCACATGTGCAAACACACATGCACACAGATGTGCACACACATGTACAAACACACATGCACACAGATGTGCACACACATGGACACACATATATATGCACACATATACACAAACTGTGCAAACACACATGCACACAGATGTGCACACACATGGACACACATATATGCACACACATACACACACGTACACACATACAAACACACACACATGCACACACACAGGCACACACACATACAAATGCACATGCAGACAGACGTGCACATACACATACAAACGCACATGAAAACAGACATACACACACAGACACACACATGCACACACATGTACACACATGTACAAACACACATGCATGCACACACAGAGTCATACACACATACAAATGCACATGCACACAGACGTGCACGCACAGACACACAAAGACATGCACACACATGCGCACACACATGTACACACACATGCACACACATGCAAACAGGCACACACACAAATGCATACAGAGGTACAAACACACATGCACACACACACAGACACACGTGCATGCACACGCATGCAAACACACAGGTACACACACTTGCACACACACATGCATACACACACATGCAAGCACGCACACATACACCCACGTGCACACACAGACACACACATGCGTACACAAATGCATACACACTCATACACGCACACACACATACATGCACACACACTTGCATGTCCATGCATGCTCCCCGGCATATGCATGCACACACACATATATGCACATACGTGCACACACCAGGGATGGACACAGCCCCCTGCATGTGCATGCACACCCCTTGGGACACGTACATGTGTGCGCACGTGCACACTGGGGCATGCACACATGTACACACACACACAACTCTGTGCACAGCTGAGGCACTGTGTGTGCGACCCCCCACCCCCTGCACCATCACATGCACACACGTACATGCGTGCACACCCCTGAGCACACACACTTGCATGTCCATGAACACCCCTGTGCACACATATGTGCACATGTGCACATACACCAGGGATGGTGCATCCACACCCCTTGGAACACACACATGTGCACACACACGCATGCACAGCACCGGGGCATGCACACGTGTTTACACACATGTCACTTCTGGGCACAGGCACCCCTGCACACACGCAGCACGCACAAACACACACACAGCCCTGGGACTCGCACGCACACACCTATGCGTGTACACACAGACATGGATGCACAGACCCCACACCTGCACACGCAGCCGTGCATGCACACCCCTGCGCATGTGCACGCACACACACCACCCGCCCGCACACAGCGTGTGTACACGCACACGCACTGGTGTAACAGCGTGCACACCCGCTCACACGCATCCCGCACGCAGGGGGTTACGCGTTTAGATTCGTGACACCCCCCTCCTTACATGCGCAGCTGCGCGCCCGCAGTCCCACACGTGGCATGCACAACCCCGTTTGCGTGTACACACCGACACACACACACACACACCCCCTCATGCACACGCGCAACCCCGCTGCCACTTTGTCCTTTGTTCCTGCACCACCCTGGCAGTTTTCCTGCACCCCCTGCGCGGGTGCCACCACCTTCCTCCCCCAAACCCCCCAAAGCCTGCAGCC